AGAGAATTGAATCAGTGAAGCAGTGCTGCGAAAGCCAATTATCATTCTACCATTAAAACGCTCTTACCCGGCCTGCTAATTTCCCCTCGAATGTGTTGTTCTAATTATGAATTAAACTCAAATAAGCTCGGGTAATGAAGTTTTATTCCTTTCAGGGCCCGCACCTTTTCCTCCATGTGTTGTCCTCCTGTACACAACAAGCCGGCTTATTTCCTGCATCCTTGGTTGGACTACCAGAGGTGTTTGAGGAAGCATTGTTGTGTAATCCCCAGAAATAGACCTCGGCTTGTGGCTTCATCACCTTTGATTGAACTTGTTTATATGGCTTTGTTTAATGCTCCCCTATTGCTTTTCTATAACGGCTTCTGCTGAAATGACACAGAATTCCATTTGCCGTAATGCCTTGGCTATTGCCTTTGTTTGCATTGTGCTGGTAGTCTAGCAGAACCGTAATGAGAGATTGAGCCAGTTGCTCACAAGTCCCATTTTAAGCGAACAGAGGAGAGTGCCACTGGAGCTCATTGTGAAGACGGGCAGAACCTGGACTGCAATGGCACTGCCCTGCCCACAGACATTAATCCTTAAAGCCGGACTATTAACGGAGAGGAAGAGGAAAACGGTGTGTGTGTGTGTGTGTTTGTGAGTGCGTGTGTGTGTGTGTGCGTGAGTTAGTGTGAGAGCCACACAGCCATAAACAGAAACTAAACTGCTCTGCTGCAGGAACAGAAACAGCCGTTTGGGAAGTCAGAAAGCAAACTGAAATGTAATTAAAACTTTTCTAGCAACATTGATACTTTTTTTTTTTTGCCGTCTTTCAAAATGGAAATGGAGTTCAGTGAAAGGAGAGAATTGTGAAAGAATTGTAGTATTCAATGGTTTCAGTTTAAAGACAATCTTTGGCAGATTAAATGTTGGGTTCTACTCACAGGTTTTTGTCATTATTCTAACTGTCAGGCAGCGCTCCACACATCAAACGTTAGAGAGCTAAGGCTTGGAGACACAAGACTATCACAACATCCAATGGAAAGATCTTCTTAACATCGACGTCTGAAGGATCACCTTAAAAAATGTCAAAGTGTCTCATTTATGTTTCTCTTTGCATAAGAGGTGGCCATTTTTCTGCTTCTTTTTGCATGTATCCTCTTTCTGTGGATTCCCTACAAATGCCTTTAACTTCATTGTTCAGCATTCACTTAAAGGCAGAATGTGTGATATTGTACACATAAATACAGTAGAAATCAAGTATATCCTCTGTGAATGTCTCTCTGAGTCATGACTGTCTACAATGAGTGAGAAGCGTGACTCCTGTCAGCTTTACTGTTGTCAGAGCCGTGTTTACATCATGTTTACATGGACGGGACGGCCTTGTGAATAAAGCTATTTTAGTCAAGGACTACAGAAAAGAAGAATAACATCACTGCATATTTGGATTGTGTTTTTAGATCACGGTCATTCTGTGTTAATTTATGTTCAATATGAAGCTAAGCGCTAACCAAAGTGTGCTAGCATTCGCCTGCTAACACAACAATGCAGGACACAGGCGATTGCAGCTCGAGGAAAGGACAATTTTGTCCACTGCTTGCGCTTAACTGTGCTTAATTATAGTGCGTTCTAATTAATAACTTCTTCGTGTGAACGTGAGGGGAGAGGGGTTGGAGGTGTGTAGCTGGAGGAGAGCGGAGGCTTCAGAATAGAGGTGTCGCCAAACAGCTGCTCAAGGGCGACATCGACTGGATCAAAAAGGCACACATTCTTCTTTTAAGACTTTGCTACAGAGCTGATCTGAATACTGCTGTTGTGACTTTGATGTAAAACCGACTCTGAGGCACATTCACATTCGAACTGCTGTCACATATGTAGACCACAAAGCATGTTTGGGAGGGTTAGCATGGTCTCAGACAGACACATAACTGGATCCTGATGGAAAAGTTCATTTAAATCATGTGTTGGCACCAAATGAACAATCCCAAAGGAAACTAATCGAGATAAATCCTGCTTGGATGGCTGATAAAACAACTTTTTTGTTCCTTTTAATAAAAACATTATACAGCATTAAGGAGACAAAAATTCCCCTCTGAGGTATTTTTGTGTTTATTCTTTGTCGTAAATCTCTGGATATGGATTATGTTTGTATTTCACTTTTGTCTTTCAATAGAGAATAATGGTAGAAAATATTTGCACTTGGTGTGTTGGAAAAAAAAAAAAAAAAGTTTTCCCTGCTCAGGTTCTCCCGAGGCCCAGTGATGTGGATCTTCAGTCTTTGTGATGGCTCTCGTAACGGAGCTGGATGGCCTCTGAGCCTCGCTAATTGTGCTGAGAGCTACCAGATTGTCTGTCTGTTCTCATTCCCCTCTCTTCTTCTCCTCCCCTTTCCTTCTCTTCCTCTTTTGTTTCTCTCGGCCCGTCGGCTGCCTTTACCTGATGATGTCACGGGTTAATTGTGCTGCAGTGCTCAGTGCCTCAGAGGCCTCACTAAGTGACTCCCGTCTGCTGGGAGAAAGTTAGAGAGTCCCTTTGCTCTTTAAGAAAATACACACTTGAATCGAAGATTTAAACACACACACACACACATACACACACCTACCGCACACTCGTAACTGGTGCTGTCGTTCTATATACACCTAATGAGGATAAACTCACTTTTAACCCTGCTGTGGATTACCATTAGTTGTGTCTCTACTGACGGGCCCTTCCGTTCTCTCTTTTCCCAAAATCAGAGCTCTAACGCCGTGGGGAGAGGAGCGGGCCGACTCCCCGCATCCTGGAACAAAATCCCAGCAGGAGCAGATGTTCCACTCCACCGGAGGGAACTGGGAGGTGGTTGGTGGTGTTGGGGGGGGGGGATGCAGTCTCCAGCCTCCTACTACATTAAATGCTAGCACCAAGTTTTTGTCACTAATCTATCCTCAGCGCTGTTCCTTTGTGAATATAGAAAGCTACACAAAGACACAAACACTCATGCACACACTTAAACCATTACCAACTGTCAAGAATACAAAATCGGACAAGATTTCAAAATAAGATGCTTTAGGCCTTCCTGGAATAATTTCTAAATGTTGCCCTGAAGCCTGACCTTAAACAGACATAGGATTAATCTACAGATTGAACATTTAAAATGACTTGCTTACACTAAACTGTTTTTATTTCCTTTGCCTGTAAAATAAGTTTCTGTTCTATAATTAACCAAACTCCAAGTGTTAGACAACATGATCCATCCAAAGAGTATCAAATGTGAACTGTTGGACAGCAGTCTTTCCTAAGGTTAATCATAGGAATCCCATACCTGATTGTCTTATTTTGACATTATTAGTGAATGTTGCACACTTTTTGTTGCTGATGTGACACAGAGTGGTCGTATCTTAAAGCATAGGGGAACCCAAGCTGACTTTTTTGTCAAGTTAGGATCGGGATTTCACACTCACAGAAAACTTCTTAAAAAAGTCCAAGCTTCCTCCACTAAAGGACGGCTGTAGCTGAACACAGTGGACTAACTGTTTGAGTGTTCCTACGGGATCCTAACTCTTAGACGAACTGCATCCATTATTCAATGGAATATGAACTTTTCACTTGATCATGTCAACATGTTGGCAGTGGTACAAGCAGATGCTCAGGAAAGTTACAAAACAAAACCCTTGAGGGGAAATGTTTGCTGGGCTATTTTGGGCCACTGGGTGCCACATGATGTTATGTCTGATGTACATGGACATTATGTCATACTCAGTCTCTATCACATCCTCTGATAAGTTATTGAGCAGACAGAATGAGTTGATGTCCACACTTTGGCTTAACATCTTGTTTGTGACTCTTTCATTAGTACTGCACCCAGTCTACTTTTTTAGACCAGTTTGTTTTATACTAGTCTGAAAATGTATGAAGATGCCTTTATGTTCTTTGCCTCATGGTACTAATGTGGTACATCATTTTGACCACACCCATGAGAGCAGAGCAGAGCACATGTATACATGCACTTTATGTAACGTGGGCTCTAAAATTATAACTTTATGATAGAAAATTAGCACTCATGGTTGCACAGTTCATACTGTAGCTTTGTACTCTGTAGTGTGAAATGAGGAACTTTAATCTAAAAAAAAACCCACCAGTAACCACCAGTTACAATACTGCCATGAACACCAGAGAGGATTAAATGTAAACAATCTTAAAAGCAAAGCAGTGCGCTGTTTTTACCCCGTTTCTACTTTGCTCTCTGTCGCTAACGTAGACAGACGAGGAACAAGGAAGGAGGAGGCTCATCATCACTCACTTTTCTCACTCAGCAGAGCTTGTTAGCTTGTTGTACAAAGCGGAGATAATGATGTATTAATAATATCCACATCAGAGATTGAAATGTTGTGCTTTGACTTGTGTCAACACCGGAGAAATTTTTTTTATTGGCTCACAGCGAGCCATTTATTGAGTGTCTGAGTTTTGTGATTTGAGTCAAACAGCTTGTCAATACAAACCCCGAACTTCTGTTTGACCACCTTCAATAGAAAAGTACTAGATGTCAAGCTCTTTGTTACGGCAAACAACTGCGCTTAAGCAGATATGGTAACCCTTCCTCGACTACGTTACAGCTCTTGACACTGGGTCATATTTTAGTTTCCCCCTTACATGAGTAGGGAGGTGTGGGGGGAGGTGGGGAGTGTTTTTGTTTACTTTCTGCTTGTATGTTCAGTCTCTTCTGAAAAGGCTAAAAAATAAAGTATAAGAAAACAGAGTTGAACCAATAAGTCATCGACTCATAACTTTTCATTTATGATATACATGATGTACCTTATTTTGGCTGTATGTGCTTCTCTGTTCTTGAAAAATGCAGAAGCATCAGTGTACAGTGCTGTGAGGAGAATGAACTGGATGCAGAAAGTGATTGCCCTGCAGTGTTTGTCATCAAAGTACAGGGAAGTTGTGTATGTGTACATGTGTGTGTGTGTGTGTGTGTGTGTGTGTGTGTGTGTGTGTGTGTGTGTGTGTGTGTTTGTGTGGTGTAGTTGTCATCTCACCCCGAACATTTGCCGGAGGTCGGGGTCTCGGAAGCGGAAGGGGATGTTGGAGACGTGTAACCTCTTGGGCTGCTGCTTCTCCGACGAATCGCTGGGCTGCAGGTGGAGCTGCTGGGAGCCCTCTGTCTGTACAACCTCCTCTGCCTGCTGCAGGGAAACACACATGGTGCAACAGATAAGCTCCCGTCGTGGTGGGGGGAAAAAAATATATATCCTGAGAGCAATAAAATATCTAGGTGAGAGGCTCGGTGCTAGAGTGACATGAATAAAACAGATACTTTACAATAGATGAGGATTGACAGAACATGGAGGTGAAATATTAATAAAATGGAGAAGTGTGTGAAAGCGAAAAAGGAGGGGAGGTCGACATCAAAGAAAGCTTTTTGAAACTCAACCCTATACCTCCCTGTGTAGCTCTAAATGTGAACGTTAGGTTAGGGTTTTGTCTTTTCACAACAGAGATACCCTCCTCTTGCTCCCGTCACGCTGATATGTGCCCTGGAGGATTTAGGAAACTGTTCAAAAATCATTCAAAGAAAACAAAAGAACCAACAACATACATTCCTATAGACCTTGAAGAGGTGATTGGTGCTGGATTTAACTAGATGCACCCAGAACACATAGAGCTGCCTTTTGGAGCACAGTATGTACTTATTGGACACTTACGATTGAGGTCAGATGCAAACATTCGGTGTCACTATAGGCAGAAGATGTGTTGAAAGGCGGGGCTCTTTTTTCAGTCCATCGACAGGCAAACCAGTGTCAGCATCTGCGACCCATCTTTTTCACTCAGAGTGACCATGTCCTATCGAAATCCTCTTTGTTTAGCTTTCATTAAAACATTTCATATAAATAATTCGGACTTTATGACAATACATCAACTGAACAAAGAGGGACACTTTCATTGCCATTTGTCTGAAAGTCGTCAGTTCACATGGTCACTCTTTTAACCACAACACCAGAACGTCATTTCAGTGATATTTGGTGATATTTAGAGGAGAATCCCTCTCCTTACACCACTGGAAAGCCTACAAACATACTGACAGTGTTATCTGTTTTTGATGTGTCTGGGTCGATAATGCTGCTGTTTAGGAAGTGAAAGGTAAGAAATGCTAATTAGCTAACATTCGCTAGTTAACGTTAGCTAATAATAGTATCAGGGTGACTGTCACCTGTGGGTTTCAGTGTTCTGGGGCAGTTATGAGAGTTAACGGCAGGAGTATTTAGATTTAGTCAACACTATAATTGATGTCAGGATGAGGGGAAGTCCGTTCTTTTTTTCCTCTCGCAGGGTCTGCGGAGGGTCTAACTGCAGTAATCCACAAATGTCCTCCTCTCTGGGTTTTCTTTCTCGGATTAAATTCTGTAGAAGCAAAACCCGGGCTTCGTTTCCTCGTTGGTTCAGTGTATCACATTCAACAACAACTGTATTTCATTTGAAGAAATGGAAGATAAAAGTGATAAAAATACGTAGGGGGTAACTGAGGCCAGTAACTTCTAAGCAGCGTAAGGTGGTAGAGAGTCTTTCTTGCCCGCCAGGTGGGCGGTTCCATAAGAGTGTGACGTCACCTGAAAGCTGTGAATTGTCCCTGGTCTAGATTGTTCTATTTGAAACCGACATGACACCATCTTCACATTCATATTTTGAAGCATTGGGCCTCTGATCACGCTGTGTGGATGCATTTGGGGATATAATGGGCTTTTAAGGTTTTTGATTTTCCTGATTTCAGGTATTCCCCCAAAATGGCTATCTTTTAGATGGACTGACTGCTGATTTCCTCTTAATTATCTTCTTGTTGTAATAAATGTTGGTCTCACTTGAAGTCAAAGAAAATGCAGTTTTACGGCTCCTCCTCGGCTCTGTGAAATGCTTTTGACCTCTTTAAAAGAAAAGCCTTTCTAGGTATTGTAACCATCTGTTTCTAAATGCTTTTAACTGTGTTAGTCTGTTGTTTGCAGGGAGAAGGGAGATAGAGCAGAAGGGGTTGATGTACATAATGAATCAGACAAAGCGGGGGAATGGAGGGATGAAGAGAGAAGGAATGAAAAAGACAGAGATGGAGACGGAACGATGATGTCAGCTAAACCTGCCCCGATCAATGAGAGAGAAGTGCTGAAGGTAGCGGCATTCATACCGACAGAGCGAGAGAGGAGAAGAGAGAGTGAGAGAGAGAGAGAGAGAGAGATAGACGGCGCGAGAGGCAAAGAGAGAGAGAGAGAGAGAGAGAGAGAGAGAGAGAGCATGGAGAAAGTAAAGGAGAGAGAGTTCAAAGACGCATGCAGGATAAGTGCTGATTGAAGGGAGAACAGTAAAAAGGGAGAGACAGGCAAGTGAGGATAATGGCATTACATCACACAAACACACACACACGCACACACACACACACACACACACACACACACACACACACACACACACTCAGCAACACAACACACACACACACACACACACACACACACACACACGCACACATAGCTGAATAGGCAAGGAGTGCTCCACAGAAAGGGACACAGAAATAATCAGATGCTGGTGTGTGTGTGTGTGTGTGTTGGTGCGTGTTTGTGAGACACCAACACTCACTCACACACACACACACACACACACACACACACACACACACACTCAGAGTTTAATAGCAAAGAGCTCATATCAATCCTTGGCCAGTGGCAGACGCTGGGACCCTGTGATGATAAAGCACACTCTCCCAGGCACTTAGTCCCTTGTCTACACGTACACTCACACATACACTCATGCGAGCACACCCTAACACACACGCGCACACACACGCGCACACACACACACACACACACACACACACACACACACACACACACACACACACACACACACACACACACACACACACACACACACACACACACACACACACACACACACACACACACACAGAATGTGGCCGTGGGGCCGGGTGTTGCAGGTCAGATGGATGGTGTGGACAGGCCTGTAATTATCCCCTCGGCCGTCCTGCACCTCCTCTACATGTCAACATCCACTGAACTTTTGTGACTCACAACACAATGACGCTCAACTATTGACAACTTCTTTACGACTTTCATTTGACTCTCGTGAGACAAATTATTAGTGGGTTTAAGCAGAAATGTAACTGCTTCCAGTATTTTAATTCACCAGCAGAAATAGATACAACACAGGCTTCAGAAGTTCACGTCTGAGTATCCAACATGTTTGCACCATCAACATGTCAAATACAGCAGCTAGAGCTAGATTTATACTTCTGTGTCACATCTACACCATAGTGAGCACTACCTGAGCTTCTGCTTCTGCGCTTTAACATTTGGATTTGCTGCTCTGAGTGAGTTGCACAATAATATGATTACGAGGAACAATGCGAAAACAGCGAGAGAGGAAATCAGTCTGTTTCACAATGTCGGTGTTGTCTTCATAACTGATTTTACGCTGCCCCAAATGGACAGAGAAAATGCTTATTGCAGCGCGCTTCAGTTTCCTGAAGAATACATTGTAGGAATCAAATGAAATATGTTCACAGTGATTTTACAAACATGAAGGCTCAATATAAAGTTTCCTCAATCTTTTTGATGAAACAGCATAGTCCAGGTGAAATTAGATTTTCCTGCAGAATTTGTCTGCTGATATAAGTACGTTTTTTTTTTTTTTTTTTTTTAGAAAAAATAAAAGTTTCTGATGAGTGGCTGCACGGTTGTCTAGGTAGGGGATAGCGCTGTTGCCCCATAGCGAGGAGGTTCCTGGTTTGAATCCCCGTCTGACAGGAGCCTCTCTGTGTGGAGTTTGCATGTTCTCCCTGTGTCGTACTCCGGCTTCCTCCCACAGTCCAAACACATGCTTGTTTGGTCTAAATCATCTGTAGGTGTGAATGTGAGTGTGGCTGGTTGTTTGTCTCTATATGTCATCCCTGTGATTGACTGGTGAACAGTCCAGGGTGTACCCCACCTCTTGCCCAATGACAGCCCCCAAGCAACCCCGAACGGGAAAAGCGATAAAAGATAATGTTATATGGAAGTTTATGACGATCCTTAATGGGTGCAGTCTGATTTAAAAATTTAATTGAAGCGTTTCTAAAAGTTTTTTTTGTTTACGGATAAAACACAAAGATGCTCTGACTGGATTTGTTTTTAAGACACTGATTTTAATTGTTTTTTCTTCATATCGGCAAAGAAAAAAAGTTAATCAAATTCAATCGACATTTCACTGTTTTAGAATAAGTTCTGTTGGTTTGAAAAAATATATATACTTAAAGAAACACAATCCATTCATGTGCATGCCATATATGTAGTGACCGTAAACTGTCCAATCAGCAGTCTTCTCTTTTTTTTATAATGAACATCCCTCTTTATCACCTTGTTCTCTCCTCTCACCCCCTCCCTCCCTCCCCGCCCAGAGCTAAGCAGCCTTCCACAGGGAGCTGCCTCGGTTCCGTTTGGTCTTTTAATTTGTGTTAATTGCATGTTAATCGAGCCACATCTGCCTGAGCAGAGGAGCAGAGGTGGTGGTGGTGGTGGGGGGGGGGGGGGGGTAATTACATCAAAATGCTAAAGTGGTACAACCTGAAGACTTTCAGTCAGTGCATGTCAGGCAGGTGAAACGTGTAAAAAAACATTTGTCTGCTAGGTTCATCATTTAAAGGACCAATATGTAAGATGAATTCTGAGTTAAATCATGAAGTGACCTTACCACATCAACAGACATTAAGGAAACATGCTATGTTGAAGTGTTGGCTTCTCTGACAACAATGCAGCAGCCAGTATGTCCTCCTCCTAAGTTTAGATTCTGGTGCATAATGGTTTGTATTTGTTTTGACCAGAGAAGGTAGATGTTTTTTAAGGCGCCCCCACATGGCAGTTTTGGACGCTCCTCGTTCTGCCAGGCAAACGTCAAACCAACAGGTGTTGCAGCGATGGAAGCGGGGAAGCGAACTGGTTCAGATGTAACTGATTCTACCCGGCCTAAAATGCCTCTGCATGTTTCTAATAAGCTCCACAAGCAGAAACGTGGTGGATCAATTTTGGAGATGCTTTTAAAAAAGAAGAGGAAAGTTTATGAGAGGCAAGAGTGACATTTTTTTCTCCACCATCAACTGGTTGAGAAGATCTTTAGTTGATATTTTATGGTTAACGCAGATCCTCCAATCCTGTCGGTGTGTCTGGGGATTTGAAATAATTGAATCAGGAGAGACTTAATTCTAAGTAAACAATCATGTAATTTACAAGTTTGTAAAAGGAGAACACGTTCAGTGAGTTTGGCTAGACTCTATCAGGATGTCTGCACACTTGATGGAGTAGTGAGGGCAAAAGCTGGATAGGATACCCCCCCCCCTGATGGAGTCTAGTCACCGGTGGTGGTGATGAAAGTATGCAGGATGTGATGAGGGGTGGACATAGGAGGAGCTGAACCTGGACACTGTTAAGATGGAATGGAGGTGTGGAGGAGGGTCGCAGCAATCAAACTGATGGGGAAAGAGAAGGAAAATATGAGAGCAGCAGGATGATTGGTTAATAGAGGTTGTGGCAGAATCTGGTTGGTTAAGCACAAAAGTAAACGCCCCTGATTGGCCGATAACTTAAGCAAGACTATAGAAGGAGAGTGAGAGAGGGGGGGATGATATGCTGCTGTTTATTGTTACCACTGTTTCTGAGACAAAGTGGGAGTGGTGAGTCCCTGATGGGAAAGCGACTTCAGAAAGCCTGGTGTTGTTGTGCGACTTGAATTATTGTCCTCTATGTTTAAACACCATTCAGCCCTTTGTAAAACCAGTGTTTTATAAATACAGATACAAGGATTATTCACATTACATCGTCATTTACATGGTTAGCCCATTGCACAGTAGGCTATGTTCTATAATCTCATTCAAAATAGCCAATGCATTACAAATCCCTACATAGAATAAGTCCCGCTCCCTGTTCCGCTCAGTTCTTCCATCCGGTGGCTGAGGTCTTTCATTAAGCTTAGCATGGTATGGAATGGAACGGCTTTACGGCTGTAAGCCCTCCTCTGCCTCGGTCACAGAGCTCAAACCCGTCTCCCTGCCCTGCCCTGCCTTCTTTCTCCCCTCTGTGGTCACCCTGCCTCCGCCATCCACGCTATGTGAGCAGTCAGGCAGGAAGAGGAAATAATTACATGAACATTATCATACACAAACAGCCCGCACTTCCTCCTCTGTCACCACGGAAACAGTTCTGAGCGGTACAGTATGTGCGTGCCTGTGTGAGGAAGGATGCTCTGCAAAAACTAATCTACCCAACCTCTTATGCCAGTTACAAACACACACACACACACACGCACACACGCACACACACACACACACACACACACACACACACACACACAATTCCCTCCACATGTTCACTGGAAAACACAGTAACGACACATCTGAGAGCTCTAACGGAGTGTGTAATCAGGTTTAGATGTTTGAGGCGGTTTTGGCTGTGTGTGTGTGTGTGTGTGTGTGTGTGTGTGTGTGTGTGTGTGTGTTTGTGTGTAAGAAAGATCGAGAGAGAGAGAGAGAGACTTGCTGAGCTCAGCAGTGCGTCTGCGGCCTACCTTCCCCGGGCGGATAATGGAAGTTATCAGATGGGAGCACCGCCAGACAGGTAGATTACAAACGGTTAGGCGGCTACAGAGACTCCTCTCACCAGGGATTACACCAAGACACACACATGCACACACACACGCATACACACACACGCATACACACACACACACACTAACACAAGCACACGAAAGGAGACTCAATGTATAGCGGGAGCCATCTTTAACCCCTGCCTCTCTTCTTAAACAGTCTCAGGCAGCCAGAGTGTGAATGACATCACTTTTTAAAACTGAAGGAAAACACTCAATCAAAACAGAAAGGACTCCAGGCATGACTCTGAATAAATGTGGAAAAAAAAGACTACATCAGCTGTTTGGATTGTATGACCAAAAAAAAACCTTCCACAGCATCCCCTTTGGTAGATGTCAGAGGTCACTGACCAGGAGTTGTTGTCTGAATAGAAGCTGATGTTACCATCGCAGACAGTGCACACATTTACATCCAACACAGTCATTCATAAAATGCTAATCGCTAATCTGTCAGCCATAGACTTTATGAAAGAAGTGGACATGGCCTCTGAGTCTGAAAAGCACATCATTGCCCCTGGCCACTATGGGGGATTGCAGAGGTTACAGAATGAAGTCAGAGTTTACACAGGTCAATGACAAAATGGTGTGGGTGTGTGCATGTCTGAGTGTGTGTGTATGTGAAGCTTGCGTTCCCCTGACACTTCCGCAGAGTGTAAAAGTATTAAACCACAATATTTATTTCATTCTTAAAAGAAAATGTAGCTGCTTGTTCATGGACTTTCAGTAAATTGTTTCATTTTTATGACATCAGGTTATTTATCAAATCACTTTTTTTATTCCCTCAGGGTTGTCTGCGGTCATCCTTGTATTTCCATATTACATTTTTAGTGCAATAGAAAAATATACCTTGGTGGTGTTTTAGGCCGACACTGAACGTGCGCATGGTGTCTTTTTCTTTTATCCTGCAGTAACTACGTCTCCTGACAGTAACAGTTACAGCTCGTGACAAACTCTCCACAGCGACCGTAAAACACTCCCAGTGATGCTGACTGTACTAGGAACTTCTCCCGTCGCTGGACTCCCCATCTCTCCCATCCCTTCCCGCCGTGCTCCGATCTGATTGGCCCTGACAGCTTGAAGGCTCCTCAGCCAGAGACGAGACGCGGTGCAGTTATCTATGGTGTGGACGTACTTACTGGAGTATCGCCTGCATGTGTGCAAGTGTGTGTTTCAGTGGTGAAATTCAGCTGAAAAATAAACTAGTCTGTTTGTGACATGAAGCCACCACTCTGTCCCTGCTCTGTGTGTGGTACATGTATAGTTCATGCAAGCATTTGCACGCTCACTGATGTCACAGTGAAGGCCCAAAAAGAAGATACCAAATCCTTGTGAAATGCTAAGATCGGGAACTGTTCTCCCCTCACTTTTCTGAAACTCATTTACTTTCTTGTTTTATGTATTTTCTCCCTGATTTTCAAGCTTTTTATCGGGAGCAGAGGCTTCTTCTTAGCTTTTAACTTCTGGGTTTCATCTTGTGTGAAGTTTGGTGTCAAAGAAACTTCAGAAAGACAGTCAAGAGTCAGCGAGAGAGAGGTTTAACTCTCAGTTTCCTGCATGCTTCCCAGCATGCCACCCAAATCTATAAAAGCTCTTGAGCTGTGCTGAGCACAGTGAGTGAACCCTCAACCTCTTCTCCAAACTTTAAAAAATCTTCAAAGGAAGATGGCACACCTGGGACGTGTGGATTAAAAATACAGTGTGGAAGTTTAATTGAAAGATGGAAGATGGGCTTTTACAAATTTTTTCCCCCCATTGCATCTTAAAGATTTAATTGCATTTTTGTATTAAAATGTATTTAAAAAAAACATATTGGATCATGCAGAAACAACACAGATCAGTGCTGATGTCGGTATCTCTTTGAAATATTTATTGGTCAAACTTGAGTTTTTATCCATTGGAAATGCAGCCAAACCTTACAGAACGTTCCACAAAAGAGAGAGAGGGACGAGATAAATACAAACTGCTGACTCACCGTGACTGTGTTGGCCGTGAGGGCCGGGGTGTTGCTGTCGTTTCCCGGTTGTTCGTTCTGCGTGTGCGTCTGCGTGTACAGCGTCAGGGCGTGCTCGGCCACCGTGCTTGGTCCTGTGTAGTCGGTCGGCGGGTGGGCGTGGGGCGTGGCGTACTCGGCTGGGATCCCGTTCTGTGGGGGGGGAGGGTACTGGGCCGGTGGGAAGGGCTGGGCCATGGCTTCAGGGGGAGCTGGGGCCTCTTGGTTGCCCTGAGGGGAAGGAAAGAGAAAAGCCAACAGGTCAATGAGGGGTTCACTTTTAAATAGTTTTGTTGTGGCTTTAAGTAAGTGTTCTGCTTGGTAAATGATAAATGGACTTGAGCTTGTATAGTGCTTTTCTAGTCTTCTGACTACTCAAACACTTTTACACCACATGTCACACCTACACATTCACACACTGATGGCAGAGGCTGCTATGCAAAGTGTCCATCAGAAGTAACTAATCCCATTCAAACACATTCATTGGCCGCCGACGAAGCAACGGGAGCAACTTGGGGTTAAGTGTTTTGCCAGTGGAAACATCGGACATAAAGCTGCAGGAGCTGGGGATCGAACCCCCAACCTTCGACCAACTAAGCCACAGCCTAACCCTAACCCTTGGTACAGCATACCAACAATACATTAAGGGTGCCAGACATGAGGCATTGACACTGTAGTATTTTTTTATCTGTATATATATATATTTTTTTATTCGAGTAACACATTCTCCTGAATATCTTCAAATATGAAATATCAAAAAAAAAAAAAAAAAAAGAGGATGTGTGTTTGTTGAGTTGATTTAGAGGTTTAAAACAGAGCCTGTAGTGTTGTCATGACAACAGGAATGCATGTTTCTGTGTTTGTGTGTACAGTTTCAGTCATGAATCTACACTTTTATGTATCTGGCTCCGGGTCGTTTTTTTTTTTTATCGGAGGGGAGGGTGAGGACATGATTGGCTGTTGGGAAGGAGAGACTGAGTGTGGGGAGTGACAGGATGAGAGCGTGGGGGAGGAGAGTTAATCTGTTTATCTCCGTAACAGCCACGGCTTGGTCATTAAAGTCCCAACAGTGACGAGACTTGGAGACGACACAGGAAATCATCAAAGGTCCCGTCTGGCCTTCAATAAACTCGAAAAAGAGGCGATCAAATCAAATGAAGAATAAAACGTGTTGCCCTCTGTCGTGTGTGAGTGTGTGTGAGTTTATCCTTTTGACGACGTGACAACAGAAGAATTTGGTTTTCTTTTGCAGAACACGACACTGCTTCAAAACACTCTTTCAGAAAAACACACACACACACACACACACACACACACACACACACACACACACACCCACACACACACACACACACACACACACACACACACACACACACACACACACACACACACACACACACACACAAATAGGGATCGACAAACACGTAGGCCAAAAGAAAGTGATGCAAATTACACATTTTACGGAGATTAGAAAGATCAATTAACTGATACTCCTTTGATGACAACCTCAGTTTTGAAATTTCTAATAAAAGTTGGCATTTTCTCGCCTCCACTTTCCTCCCTTTCTTCCTCACTCGCTTTAGTGCTTGCGTCTCCTCGTCTCTCCTCTTCTAAGGTCCGTTTTTTGTGCCCCTTCACCCCCGTCTCATCTACATGCCTGTCAGATAATCATTTCCTCCCGAGCAAAGGGCCGATGATGAATCCATCTGACATATTAGCGCCCTGCTCTTCTTCCTCACCGCTCCAAAAAACTTGAAGGAATATGTTTTTTTTTTTTTTTTTTTCTAAAATGTCCAAAATCAATCCCAGCAACTTTTGGAGGTGGGGTGAGGCTGTGACCTTAGCTGTTTTTTCCGATAAAGAGGTATTGAAGTTGGCGATTCCTACACATGGAGATTGATGGTGTAAAGCATAACAAAGCAGTTTGCCGATGGCTCGCATCGTTTCTGGCAGAGAGTCGCCTCGGATCCCCCGGGCAAGAGGAGCGTTATGCTCAATTTAGAGTTGACTTAGTGTCACTTCACATCTAAATTTAGAAAAATGTGAATCTCCAGCAGAAAACAAGTCATCATTAATGAAATTGAACTTTGTTGTGCTGCTTCGATCTGAAACGAGCGATGCTTTTTAAAAAGCCTCGTGATGTCCAAACAGCATAAATAAACACTCAGTAAAAAAAAAAAAAAAAGTAGATAAATAAAACCTGAACACAGATTTATACATCACAGCTCTTTGAAAGCTTTAACGGCTCTTTAAAAACTGCAGTGATTTTATTTTTAATAGACTTTCTCATCGCTCAGGGTGTTTTTATCATCGCTGAAAACACCTTTTTACAATTCAGATTATGGAAGAGTAAAAAAAGGGTAACTGATGTGTCAACGTTTATTTCCTTTTATCCCTTTTCAAATTGAATTCAACGACTTCAACGGAGTTAGAGTTTGAGGAGCGATTGTGCCAAAGACAAATGTGCGAAAGTGATGAAACAGATGTGAAAAAGGCAACACCACCTTTGATTACTTATTAGGTCAAACATTTCATCAACATCTCAGTCCAGTTTTTTTTCATACTTTTTCAGTTTTTTCTTTTTTTAAATGCACATCTTTTAGATCTGTTAAAAAAATGTACTCCTCAAACCCTTTGCCATAACACGTCATAGTAAACGAGAGTTATGACCAATTAAGTACAACAGGTTGCCCTTGAATAGTTTTAGAGATGTAATGTTATAAAACTTTACATTTCAGCTTGACTTTTACATCTTCAGGATTTTCACATCTTAAGATTGACAACAGAGCAGCTCCACTTGCCTGAAAGGAGTTGGGCCTTTTAGATAAAGATTTTGTTCCCACCAATAATTCTGAGGATTGTAAAATTCTGCAGCTCTGCACCTTATAAACCACTGCTTTGATCTATGCCATCAATGTAAGCTATATCTTGGTATCATCTTTCTCTTTTTTCCCCCTGCACTTACATTTATTGATAAGGCCGCTGAAGAGATTTGGGAAATGTCAGGATGTGAGAGTGAGGATGATTTGCATAGAAGATGTTTGCAGGTCAAAGCACTGATAGCCGAGGTAAGTTATGTCAAGCCCATGTAGTGAGGCTATAGTCCTCCAAGCCGACCGACCACCTGCAGGACTTTCCCACATGTCATTTCCATCCCATGTTCCTATCCACTGTACTATCACTCCATCACTGTGAATGCACAGGGTGCCGACGGGGAGCTACGGTACACAACATTTGACAGGCTTTGGTGTTCTTGACAGAGAGCAGTCTGAAAGCAAACCGAACAAAATGAAAAATCTAACACTGTTGTAACTTCAACCCTGAATTGCACCGAGTCCACCAAACTTCAAATTTGAAAGCGACCTTAATCTCAATCAGGGTTTTTCCTTCTTAATTTAACTTTAAACAAATTAAACACCAGCAGATGGCGATGCAGAGTATTAGTCATTCAAAACTAAGAGACGTCTGCCTGTTGATACACAAATCATTGATGATGTTTGCCTTCAAATATTACTTTTACAACTAAGATAAATTCATAATAAAGCTTCTTCTAATTGAGCATTTTGTACACAGGCCATCATTGTGAGCTATTTTTTTTTCCTTCAAAAGAAGAATAATCTTTCTGGTTTTCTGCACTTTGTTGTCCTTTTGTGGTCCCCTGATTTGCTTTTCCGATCAGCCAATCAAAATGATTTCTATCACTAGAAGGCTAAAAAAAAGTGCTTGTTCAGCTGAAAAGCACAGGCGAGGACTGCTGACAGCCAACAGAGTGAGTCTCTGCAAAAGACTAGAGCCTAAGGTGCTCACTGATGGCTGGACTTTGGCTTAATGTGTATGTGTGCTCACGTCTCATATGCGCTACAGTCTGAGAGGGTTGTTATATGGAGGTTGTTAAAAGCAGAATAAATAAAACAGTGTTAGCACGTAGTTCTTTTTTACAACTCATCTCAAATCAATGAACCCAATTTTGTACCGTTGATCAAGCTGATACACCAAATGTTTTCTTACAGCCTGACCAGAAATCAGAAGTCCAACTTCACACAGGTCATGTTTTCCACTCCTTTATACCTCGGTAGCCTTGTTTTCCCTTATTCAGTCTAATCTCAGTCCATGCAGGGCGGAGCTGTGGCCCGGGGCGAGTCTTGGTTCACTAAAACAAGAAGCCTCATCGACAGGCCTCCCTGCCTCGCAGCATCAATAAAGACCCGAGCTGATATATGGCCCCACCTGGTCAATACACACACACCACAGACAAGCACACCTACACACAAACACACACACACACACACACCAGCAGCCAGCCATGAGCAGTCAGGTTAAATAATGGCAGCCGAGTGAGGGAAATGAGAGCTGCAGGGAAAGTGCTTTACCTGGAAGTTTTCCTTTTAATATGCCTAAATCATGAGCTGATGTGCCATACATCTCTCTGTATGTATGCACACACACACACACACACACACACACATGCACACACACACACACATATACACAGCCATGCTCACACTGAGATGGAGACGGTTTTGCCCTGCTGGGGTTTCGGGCAGAAAAGAGTGAGCAGGAAAAAAGGCGAAGGGAGAGAGAAATAGAGTTAGAGAGAGCCAGAGGCAGAGAGAGAGAGAGAGAGAGAGAGAGAGAGAGAGAGAGAGAGAGAGAGAGCGAGAGAGAGAGAGAGAGAGTTAGAGTCAGTGAACTTCCATCATCCATCACAGTGACTGAGGCGCTGACACACTGAGACATCCCCAGATCCTTGTCGACAAATTGCGCTGGTAAATGATTTCTCCTATCAGCTAAATCATACTATCCATCCCTCTCTCCCTCCATCCCTCCATCCATCTCTCTGCATCATCCACACACCTCTCTCTCTCTCTCTCTCTCTCCTTCTATATCCTCTGTCTTTCCCTCATTGAGTTTATTTCCCTTTGGCTCAGTGGAGCGCCATGCCTGATGTCTGATGGACTCCCGCTCCATTTGTACCCCTGACACATGTATGAAGCTCTCTCTCTCTCTCTCTCTCTCTCTCTCTCTCTCTCTCTCTCTCTCTCTCTCTGTCTTCCTCTAACACACACACACACACATACATTATCTCTCTATCTCGCTCTCACTCTCTGTCACTGCTGGGAAGGCGTATCTCCATGCAACTTTAAGTCAAGTCATGCGGCCACTGATGACAACAGAAATTGAAAAATGTCACCTGTTGATATGTTACTTCTGCAAGTTGCAAATACAGC